AGTAACAGGGAGTTACTTGTAAGAATCCTTGGATTTCATAAGTTAGTGCACCTACTGTATTTACAATTACACTTGTTTTGCAATTACACTTACGCCTTTTCTTTTATTTGACAATGACAGGTCTCAACCAATTCACACGTGACATCGAATTAATGACGACTGTACGACCAAACTGGTACTGGCGCATCACTTGGCTAGCAATAACTCCACTCACTGCTATTGGACTGATTATCTTCAAAATTATCACAGACACGCCGATCACCCTGAACTCATACGTCTACCCGGAATGGGCGCAAGCCTGCGGCGTGTTAATCGGCGTCTTTCCCGTTGTCTGCATCCCAGCCTGGTTCATGTTCAAGTACTGCCGTGAAGGTGGATGGATAGTAAGTCCAACATGAGCATTTGCACTGATAACAATATTGAGTTTACTCGTTCTATAAAGAGTACTTATGCCGTTATGTTCATTAGCAGTGGTAATGGAACTAGCGTACAAAGTAATTGGACGAGAAATCCTAACGGTATTGTATTAGTAAAGGCAAGGAGAGAAATCCTATTTAAAATATCGGAGATATTAGTAGCAGTGACAGTTGCTCTGCAGTCTATTCTCATAGGCAGTCCCCCGGATGTTCAGTCCAGATGTTCGTGTCATCGGCAAACATACCCGTTGTAGTCCAAATCTCTAAAAAAATGGTCCACTTACATTAGGTCCAGAATGGGCTTTTTAATTTTCCCGGGAATTCCTTTCTCACTTGGAGTCAATATGTATATGCCAGGACCTACAGACTCAGACCGAATGTTTGTGGGAATAATTGGGCCGAAGTCAGTCTACAACAACGGAATATCCGCAGAATATTCATTTAACTAGGAAGCACGATACACTCTACATACTAGCAGCACAGACACTAGCTCAAAGTTCATACACGTGTAGTTGTTGAGGAAGGCATACTTGTTATGACGAATTCAAGAAGTGTAGATGGAAGTACTCGTTGTTGCTGTTTCAGTTTCTGGGTGTGTATACCAAACTCAGGTTGTAGTTTACGTAATCTTACTCATATTCTAGTAAGTAGCAATAATATTAGGAACTAAAATGCGAACTGCAACTGGTGTCAGCCGTAGCGGCGTTTATCTTAGTAATAGCAGTGAACTTTTCGCTATGTTTATAGGTATTACGTGAACTCGTCAAACCTGCATACACCTGGGGTCCGGCTCTGGATGAACACCGAAACGAGTTCTTAAGCCGGGTACATGTGCGTGCTCAACGGAAGAACCAACAGGTCTTGGATACCAATGAAAGCAAACGATCTACATCGCAACTAAACGTCAGTGGTAGCAACTTCAACTCTAGGGCCTGTCTGCAAACAATACCCTCCAGTATGAATATTAACGCAACACAAACAGGCGAGCCAGACTTCTTCCAAAGCAAATTAAACATTGCCGAGAAGATGACGAATGCTCACGCGAAGGACTTGGGAAAGCGCGGAGGACCCTGCACCGCTAATCCACCCGAAGATCTCGCGGCAGCACCGGCAGGTGCTTCTGAGGCTGCGAACAAAGTAAGTTCAACTAAATAAACTAATCTGTAGGCATTGATGCAGGGCCGAGTGCGAAATTATTCATGAAAAGGATAGAAATGAAATCGTTTTCAGACTCATTTCTCAAGTGTGGTGCAGTCAATTAAGGTCAAACCGGAATATCAGACTTGAAGCTAGCATAGAGGAAAAATAAGAGTGGAGAATTTTCCAATAACGTTGCCTTTTTGCCTAAACATTATATTTCTATTAAAAGTACATGCATATACGAAATGAGGAAAAGCATGATGCGTGGTGACTATGTAGGAGTCTAAGTCGTAAGTGTGCTCAGAACAACACAATTATCACGCCCAGTTCCGTATAGGAAGGAAAGGGGTGAGACCAGTAATTGTTTATTGTGTACAGAAACTCAGTGGTGGTCTGAAGCCCCGAGGCGCTGCAAGCCATGAGCCCTGCGCGCGCGTCTGTCTATTGGCGTGGTGTGGGCGTGAATGCGTTAACTTCATGCGAGAGTGAATCAT